ATTTTTACCTGCTGCTATGGTGATCCCTGAAAAAATTCTGGTGGTATGAACCAATGTTTCTGCTGCCAGAGTGAGCTGAAACGATTCTTTGAACAGTTCAGCATTAGATAGAGGCTCCTTTGTGCCACTGGGAGCTCCCCTTTGGCGTGGAGCTCTACCGACTGCAGTGGCTTCTCACCATGTTATTGGAGCCAGTTCCTTCTCAACTCTGAGCTCATCTGAAGCTAACAGAGGTCAAGAGTGACAGCTGAAATGGTGAAATTGCTGCTTTAAGCCTTTTTAATACGCTGCCATGATGTAATGGAATTGGCTGTCTCTTTTCTGCTTTTTTGGCCTTTCACAGTTGAATAAATGTGTCTCTCTGCGGCACTTATTTGAAACATGATGGCATTTCTACTGTATGTTAGAAACGCAGAGCTCTAAGTAACACAGAGCTTGAGCTTTCCAATCAAAATGCTAATTACATCCTGAAATTTGATTTAGAGTACAGGGGAGATGAATACATTTGATCAAAATGTCTGCCCCAAAATATGACGTGCTCCTTGTCTATTAAAAAAAAATAGAGAACAGGAGCTCTTAAAAAAGTATTCATTATTTGTGATTTTTGTAGAAAGACAAATTTGAGTAATTATAAGGGAATTTTTAAAATAAATGACTGGTTGTGATATAAAAGATGGAGTATGTTATTTTACTGAGAGGAAATGAAGTAACTGCACATTTCTACAGAAGCATTTTTTCCACTGCAGGAACTGGAGGCAGACTTGTGGTGCTGTGTCACTGCTATAGCAACGCCATTTGTTTACCTTCTCTAGAGCTCAAGAGACGAGCCCAGGCATGTCTGAGAGGAAGAGCCCTGTCAGCCTCCAATAAAAATCAATAATGATTTTAGTAAAAGTTGGAAACCGCAAATGTCTTTAACCCTTTAAAGCCGGTCGGAGCGGGCACGCCGGAGGAGTTGTACTTACATCTTATGCCATCAGCTTGTCCTAGGTCACAGTTTCCTTCCACATATAGCTTTGCAAAAACTGCATAAAAAGCACTTGCAGCAACCAAAACATAATATTTCAGAAACACACTTTGCCAATCCGATCAGCTGTTTGTAACTCTTAAATTTCTCTAACTAGAAATATATGTTAAAAAAACAAAATGATTTTCAAATTTTTTTGTAGTTTATTGCACTTTTTTGCAATTTATGTAATTACTATGCACTTAATGCATACATATTATTAAAATTTGGGCTATAATGGTTGTATTGATGTATATCAACTTGAAATGCTCACCGAAATGGCACTACAGCATGTAAAAATAAAAGCTCTGGCGGACTTGGTTCTACAGTAGGTCTTAAAGGGTTAATGACTTCAAGCAAAAGCTCACCTTTCAGTACAGCCAGCCGACTAAAAAGGAGATGCTAGCAGCATGTGTTGCTGGAGTACTTGCTAGTTGTGCTCCATATGACGGGAAGACCAAATAGTGGATGGAAATTACTCGCGTGTCTTTCATCCTTTCTTCCTCCCCTCACCCCCAACCGGTCATGGGAGATGGCTCCCCCTCCCTGAGCCTGGTTCTGCAACAGGTTTCTTCCAGTTAAAAGGGAGTTTCTCCTCCTCACCGTCACCAAATGCTTGCTCGTAGGGAGTTGTATAACTGTTGGGGTTTTCTCCATATTATTGTAGGTTCTTTATCTTAACATATAAAGTGCCTTGAGGCGGCTGTTGTTGTAATTTTTTTATTTTTTTATTTATTTATTTATTTCAGTTTTATTGCGTAACATTGTTAATTTAGAAGGTTAAATTACTTTGGTTAATGTTAAACTATGGTGTTAAGCATTTATTTAAAATTTCCAGGGAAATTTCTTGAAATATCACTGTATAATTTTGAGGCTATATCGCCCACATCTAACTCCTATGGTCAGAGCATTTAGCCTCTATTTGGCCTAATGCTAGAATGACTCCGCTCATCCTCACATACAGCACAACAGGGCTTCATTCACTGTTGGATTAAGCCATGTAGAACCTGAGAGCAGCATCTGGGGCGACACAGTCTCTTGAGCTGTCTAAATACAGACGTGACCTTCCTCTGTCTGAAATGGTGGAGAAGGAGGAGGATGAGCTTTGTTAGGACGAGCGGGGAGGTGAGGATTTCTGCCCAGCTTCAAGTGTACCCAAAGAGCAGTGATGGAAAGCAGCTGCATCAGTTTTTCCTTAAACACTGTCCCTTGAACTTTGAACCCACCCCATACCCCCCCCCCCTTTTTATTCTTCAGCCTGTGGCAGGTCACAGCACGCAGCACCAGTGTGGCTGCATAGTGGAGAGCAGCCAGCAGGGAGCACCTGCAGAGGAATAGCAGGCGAGCAGCATTCCATCACAGGACCCCGAGACACAGATGTCATACGAGACACGAGGGAGGTGGTTGGAGTGGGGGGATGAGCGGAAGGGCCGATGGCAGAGGTTTTGGCATGGTGGGGCAGTAATGGGGTGGGATAGCAAGCCAGATGCTACCAACAGATTCTTAATGAGGTTTCCCATCAAGAACACAGGGAGATGAACATTAATGACTACGGTTAAACTTGTCTGTTCATTTACTCCCCCCTTTTCAATCATGCTAGGATGAGGTGCCCGACATGTTTTGGGCGCATGATAATTGTTTTTTTCCCCCCCTCTTTCAACCCATATTCAACTGTTTTTGGGCTGCAAAGAGTGCAGCAGTTATTGGGATGAAATTAAAAAAAAGTATACTTTTTTTTTCCTTTTAGGGCAATAATGTGAATTGTCAGTATGGTGTAGAGTGGATGCATAAAGATGCAGTTTTAATAGTAATGAGGTGGTGTTAATGCAGAGAATTATATTTGACTGTTATGAACAAATACAGGCACTGCATTGATGAGTGAAGTCACAGCCAGCAAAACACGAAGCTCCCTTTGTTAGTCATTGTCTTTACACAACAAAAGGATTAAAAGTATGTAACAACCTTAATTAAGGGCGGAGATGTTTGTATTTCTCCTGTGAAGGACAGCATGTTCTTGTATAACCTTTCCCTAGCTACCAACAACCCAAGTGCTTGAATTGATTATTAGTCGCTTGGGAGAAAGCAGAAATGCTTTTTCTGCTTGCATACTTCATTTACCTGGAGTGGTCTAAATTAGTCCTGAGTGCATAAGCATGTCACTCAAGCTTTCTGGACACCTGCTCAGCAAATTTGCTCAAAGAGCACACATACACACAAATGCACTCGGAGCAAGATCCTAAAATATGTCCTGCAGTCTGTTTCTGCCATATGGCTTATAATATTGTAGTGAAGTGTAGCAAGTCTAAATGAAAATTCACCCAAGATTATCTAATTAAGCAGGTGTGAAAGGAGCTTAATTCAAGATGGCTTTGGCATCTCTCAGCAGTCTATGTTCAGTGCTATGAAGCAACAGTTCATTCAGCTGGAAGATGTGAATTTTTTTTAATTTTTTTTTTTTTTTTTTTAAGCTGGGGACAAAGTCGCACGTTTCCATTTCTCTTCAAAAGAAGATGTCAGAAGTGGTCTCGAGTTATAAAAGGTAGTGGTTTTATTAGCCACTGCTAGCCTGTGGGGAGCTTTTTGTTGCAGAGTGACAGGGGACTTAATAATGAAGCTCTCTAACCCAATCAACCCTGAATCAATGGAGCCCCTCTTTCCCTTCTTTGTCCCTCTCCTGTTCCCCCTACAGTGCCACTGCATTCCCAGCCTGGCGGGGCAGTGTCTCCGGGCCAGGGCCATGTCACGCACCCCTTCTGGCCCCAAACAACCATGGTGGGGGGGTCAGGGGTTCAAGTGCTCCCCATGGGGCAGTGCATTGGATGCCTAGTGACTCTTGGCCCCAACCACTGTCAACACTGGCAATTAATTTCTAATGAGAACAAAAGTAGCTCACCTCATATCTAGTCGTTTGGTTCACTGTTACTGCCCCATTCCCATTTTCCCGTTCTTCCACATCGGCTTTAAAGCAGGGGCGAGGATAGTCTCTGTTGGCTCAGCGCTGATAGTGAAGCGCTCAGAGAACATTCCTTGTGTGCTGCACAGAGGTTGAGTGTAGATTTTATGGGCTGTGTTTCTGCTAGTTCCACAAATACCTGTGGTTCATGTGCATGCTGTAGAAGCTTAACCCCTTCTCATGTGTGACATCTGAAATACAGCTGCTGGTTATATGATGGTATTACAAAGGCCTCTCTGCTACTGTATATCCCAATAACTGGGAAATCTTGAACAAATCTGCAGCTGGGTCTTCTTTTGTTTTCGTCTTGCGCTTGTGTTTCATCAAATTAGCTAGGTATTTAATTTGCCTTTAAAAGCACATACTGACATTTTGGAAAATTCATTTATTGGTTTCTATCAAGAGTTCAAGTTAGCAGATCGATGTAAATTTCATTTGTATGCACCTAATATGGAAATAAGACTTGGATGGATTTTCCATAGGTTATCACTGAGGCTAGAAACGGAGGGAACAGCTAGTCTCGCTGAAAAGTAAAATGATTAGCTACATGGTACAATTTATCACGTGGCTAATTTGTCTTACTAAGCAGCACAGAGTGCATATTTTTGGCTAGAAAGATCATTTCCTTCAGGATTTTTCTTTTTAAAACTGCCTTACTTTATATATACTTACAACTTGGTATATAACACCTTCCGAGTCTACTAACAGGCACCTGTTAGTAGACTGTGTGCGGGATTTATTTCAGGACTTGGGTTTGCTGGTCTAGATGCATATTTCCTAACATCATGTAAGAAATAAGCATCTGTGTTTATAATGCTTTAAAACAGCGCTCCCCAATCCCCGGGCCTCGGACCGGTACCGGTCCGTGAGTCGTTTGGTACCGGGCCGCGAGAGTAGAGGCTCAGGTGTGAAATGTATGGTTTTCAGGGTTTTTTTGTTGTCGTTTTTATCGGTAACTCTGTTTTCCTGGGTCTTTTCATGTGTGTTATGAATAAATCTTCTTTTTTTTCGGTACCGGTACTAGTTTTATTTTGTTGTATCTATCCGCGACACCTTAAAGGCCGGTCCGTGAAAATATTGTCGGCCATAAACCGGTCCGTGGCGCAAAAAAGGTTGGGGACCGCTGCTTTAAAACACCCATTTTCTATACTTTTATATTGAGGATATGCTATGAGTGTTGTGCTTTTGTTGCCATCCTGCAAAATGTATTTATTTAAACATAACAGAAGACTTGTGCTTTTGCATGCCTTTAATGCTTACTCTCTTCACAGAGCTGTTTTAAAGTTAAGTTCATATAGATTCTTTAACATGTTGTAGTTAAAGGAAACCAAACAGTCGTCCTACCCATTCAAAGGTACTTAAAGCGCAGTATCCATGTGTTGTGGTTGTGGCTGGTCAGTGCATCTGCCATCTGTATTGATAAGATTTCCTGAGGGGAAACAATTGTGTGAAATGCAGGAAGCCATTAGGAAGCCAGGGACTCATGTCTCTCCCTGCTGAGTAAATAGTGCCTGGGCCTCCCCGATTTCATCCACTTTTGAATGAGCCCAGCACTTGTAACAATAAAGGCAGGAAATGAACTGTACTCACACAGAAGCGTGCAGGATGCTCATTGTGTTCCTAATTGACCAAACTAGGTTGGGTGATGAAAGCAGACTTTTTTTTCCCCCCCCCTTTGTTGGACAAAAATAACTCAAAGGTAGCATACAGTAGGTGTGGTCGAACAAGCAGCTAATGAGGCGGTATTTCATTTCAGCATAGTTTCATTTATTTATTTATTATCTTTAGATCATTTTGGGCTGTTGTGGTCACGTCCTAACTGACCCAGTTTGTGTGAAATGGGACCTCACAGCTCGGACCCATGACTGCCTAATGTTGCTTGGTATTGCTTACATGTGCACATACACGAGCAATGGAGAAAAAATAATAAAAAGTAGTGCATAGGAGAGAGCAGACGTGTCAGCACTTGGTACCTCATGTGCTGTGTGAAAACAATCACTCCCCACTTTCAGCTTGTTTATGATTTCCTAAGCTCATCTGGCTGCAACATCCTTGTTTTTTCTCTGTGGAAGGCAGCCATGACTCTCACCCAGACAGCATTACTTAAGTTGTCACCTGAGAAGCCCTCCTGGGGAAAGTTGTTTTGTCCTTGAGTGTAGACCATAAGCGTATTTAGGCTGATCTGTATTCAGGGGAGATTGGTAATGTAGTAGGGATTGAGGTTATGCCTCCTACCAGTCCTGCCGCTCCTAAGACAAAATTCAGCGTGTGTGTGTCTGTGTTGTGTGTGTGTGTGTCAGCACGCGCACTTTTAGCCATTAGCCTTTTCTTTCCGTGAACATTGGCTATGCACTAAGGTAATTGTAAACCAAGAATCAAATAAACCAGTTTCTAAATGGCCATTTTGGTTTCATTGTTGGGTAAAGAATGTGCGGCTCTCTGGCCCACTTTTTGTGCTCGGCATAATTGATATTTGCTTTACCCCTAGATTAAGTGACAGCTAAGCAGGTTAGCATTGAGGATTTTCCCCGATTAATTCCAAGAGTCCAATCTGAGCAGGCTGGCCACGCTCCCTGTATCATCCCGAACGTCTGCCTTACCTGGGATTTACTAGCATATGAAAGGGAAATGAGATCAGAGGTGATAAATCCTGCAGCAAAGCCTCCCTCAGTGAAAATGAGATGCCCACATGGTATTGTCTGTCAGCAGGTGCCCCTGCTCTCATTTCTGATAAATTGATTTTGAACATTCAGGTGATGGGAAGTGGGGTAGCCCTACTGAGTGCAGGCTTTTTTTCCCCTTTGTATTGTGCCTTGTAATATGCTCCGGTCTGGCTGTCTTCCTTTTGTTGCAGTAGAGCCCCATTGTAGTGGTTACTCATTCACACCATGTCCACACACTGTTAGGTTCCCCCTATCCCAGCAGATTTGCAAGCAAGTAATTTAGGGGTTGTTAAGTGATTTAGCATCTGTCTTTGATAGGACCCTAGTGAGCCACAACTGCCACCCCCCTTTCCGCCCATCGCTGTCTGTGCCTGTGGCATCAAGGCCTGCGTTTGAATTTCAATCAGCCCTGGATACATTGTTGTGTTTATTTGAGGGGGATGGGTTGGATGGGGTGTCAGTAGTAACTGACTGTGTGTGTGTGTCAATCAAATATTCAGCGTGACCAATGGGCAGCTCAATGGAGGCTAGTCGGTGTGTTCTCTGGGGGGCACACGTCTTTAACCGATGCCCGTAGGGCGAACTCTGCCCCTCACTTCTTTAGTTGACTGGCGCCACCCTCCCTTCCTCGTCATCCTCCTTCCACAACACAAACGCAGGCGATGCAATCAATAACGGCCTCACCCTCCTCCTCCTTCTAGCACCCTACCTCCCCCCTGCTCCAACCTCTCTTCTCTGCTTTCTATCTATCAGCACAGTGTTTGATGTTGCTTCATCATTCTGTCATCCCCCCCGACACCTTGATGTGTGTAATTGTGTTAGATTTGTCATGGTGGCATAGTTATTTGGCCCGGCCCAGCTGGTATTAAGCCAGAGGGCGTTATTCCACGTACCTGCAACCCAGGCATTAGTTGTAAAATATCCGTGGCGTCTCATTTTATTTCAATGTGGCATTTTGCAGTTGTGGTTCACTTGGTTCTCCCAGTACCCTAAGGTACGTTCCGTCCTTTATTAAGGACCATTTTGCATTTTCTGATTTCCATTGTTCCCAACTCGCTCTGCTTCTTCCCTCTCACCAGGCAGTGAGGCATAAGCGATCTCGCATTAAAAATCAAACCCCACAGCAGATTGGTTGTAGGAAATGAGAGGAATTGATGGGGGGGTGGAGAGAAAGAAGTCTCACAGATAAACAGTCAGACAGATGCCAGCATCATAGTAAGGCTGTGAAAAATTGCTTGGAAAAAATGTATCATTGGACATTTCTGGCACTGATTTTTCATTAGCACCTTATTTCTTAAAGACTGCGCTCAGTGTGAAAATATTTGACAGTAACCGTTCTTATTTCCCCCCCAGAGGAAAACTGGCATTGCTTTCCAAATATCTGTTTGGAAAGGAATGCAGTTTCATTTGTGTCGGATGTAAAGATCACTGTGTTAATGTGGAGGCTGCGTGAGTAGACGCACAATGGAATCAGATCTTTATTTGAAAAAAATGGGGTTTTTTTTATTTTTATTGGAAACCTTACCAGTGACGCTCCCAATTCATTATCTTCATCTTCGTTTCATCAAATCGCTTCATCAAACAATCCTCGTCTCCTAATGTAACACTGGCTAATTTCGTTTTGCGAGGCTTTTCTGTGCAACCTGTTGTGCGAGGAAAATCTAATCAATACATTTGTTTCGCGAGAAACAGTGGGGGGATGTAGTGCGAGAGGGGGAAAGATGGTGCGCACAGGAGACTGTGCAATGAGGAAGACGTAAGAGGCACTCTGAGAGAATCCGTCCTTGTCGATTATGCACGCGCTACAACCTTGACAGCCACATTAGATCTCTTACTCCGTACACCAAACTACCATTAATAATGGATACATCTTTCTAGTTCTTTTTGCTTTCCTCTTCCCCTCCCCCCAGTATTGGCCCTTAAGGCGTCTACCCCTCTTTCCCTACCTCCATCCTGTCCTACTCTCCCCTTCCCCCCCTGTCCCCCCCCCCCCCCGTTTCAGCTGCGAGCCCGCTACCCAGGAGCCACGGCAGGTGTGCATACATCTTACATGGTGCTGGCCACACAGCCTGCAGCACCCAAACAGTCATAATCAGACAGGCACACCCACCTGCTTGAGAAAGACCACTGTTGAATAGTTGCTCGTGTTTGCTTTCCCCTTTTTGTAGCGGTTCATGTTATCGGGGTTTAGATGAGGACATTAGCCTGGTTTTGTTTCTCCTGACAGAAGCCCACAGACAGTGACAAATGAATATCACACAAATTCTGCAAAGACACTGAGGATGAAACGGCACATACAAGCTATTGTTAACACTCATCTGCAAGCACAGTGGTAAAAGGTAGAGCAGGGCGATATGGCCAAAAATATTTATCACGATATATATTTGAAAATTTGCGATAACGATATAACTGACGATATAACTGATGCGCTCCAGCGCCCCCCGCGACCCTGACAAGGATAAGCGGAAGCGAATGGATGGATGGATGGACAAAATACAACTCCACAACATTACTAGCGCAAAAAGACAACCTATCATTTATTTTCACTTAAACAAGAAGCTGGTTTTTATGTACATTAAAGCTTTATAAAAATGTAACAGTGCAAATGCAAATTCCTTGCTGAAAGTTTAACCAAAAGGCATTTCCAGTAGAAATGGGCTGACATATCCTGAGCATAACCATGTATAATATCCACTGAAGTTAAAAAGAGGTGCTTTGCAACATTAAACTGCAGTGTGCAGTACGTATTTTTCGGACCATAAGGTGCACGGGATTATAAGGCACATTAAGCGAAACAAAGCAGTCAGATAAATCAAACTTTATTAAACTCATTCTTCTTGCTTCCTCCACTTCTGTACCATTGATTCATTAATGTTGAATTCTCTGGCAGCTGCTCTATTCCCATGTTGTTGCAGTATATTAATGACTAACCTCGTATTGTGGATGGATTATCTCAGTTGTTCTCCTGACTGAAGTTTGGTCCGTTTACAGCATCCTGCCATGCGATTGCATTTGTCTCTAACCATGAGGAACCTTAACGTTAACTTTTATAAGTGGAAAAGTGTTAGTGTTCGTCCTCCAGCTTCACTGTTTATGTTATGCTAACATAGCTGTGTCGCTAGCGATCACGTAGCACATAATTATATACCAGCTAGCCCAACTTCAGTAACCCTACAAACGTCACTGCTGTTTAGTTTCCTGTCTTCATTTATGTTGGAAGTGATAGCAGAGCTGTACGTTTGATTTTTTTCAGAAATCTCTCAGTCAGAACATGCAATATCATGCTTAGGTAACTAGCGAAACTAGCGAGCTAACTTCCGCTAGCTTCCTGCTAGCTTCTAACTCCGTTAAATGTAATACATTTTGTTTTCATGGATGCCTGGAAGTTAAACTTCATAGTTACACCTGGTAAAGCAGCAATGCTGATCGTTTTATTAAAGATGAAAGAATTTAGACAGTTTTTAACTCAGTGATGCTGCAGTGTTCGTTTGACCTGAAATACGGAGTTTAGGACCCAGATTACTCCCAGATTTAAGGGCATCTTAGTCCGACGGCCGCTTGCATGTTCTGCAAAAAAATGTGCTTTGTTGTGTATCTGACGGACAAACACCAAACCAGTTCCACATCACTGAAGTTGCACCATTTTTACAAACCAATTCTGGTTCATCTGTTTCACTCAACAATCGGCCATGTGCGTATGAAAACAAAGGCACTGCGCATGCGCGTTTTACTCCCATTCTATCGCGATATTTCATTTTCCTATCGTTGCCTAACATTATACCGGTATTACCGTGAACGGTATAATATGGCCCAGCCCTAGTAAAAGGCATGTTTTATTAATATTATTTGCTGTTTGATTGTCACTTTTCGCATCGCACTTATCATCCGATCCAAGATAACGGCCTCCAAAACACAAGCCTGATGCTTATCATCAGTTTTATCTGAATCTAGAATTGTAGGAGTCGCACAAAAGAGGAAAAAAAAAAAGAGGAAAAAACAGCACACAATAGCCCAAACCGTAATACACAATCAGTAGGTGATCAGCAGTCAGCAGCCTGGAGTGAATCAGGATCTGCTTCATTGTCAGGTATGTTTAATAGTGTGTCAATCAGCTCATTTATTTGTCCTCTTCATTGTTAGGCCAAAACTGACATCTTACCAAATAATCATTCATTGTGTTTCCCCATTTTACCAGGTATTACAGAAGCTTTTCTAAAACATTTATTATGCATACTACATTTTATTCTGATGGGATTTGTTTTTTTAAATTTAGACTATAGAGTCAGCAAGTTTTTTTTTGTTTTTGTTTTTTTTTTTAAATGGTTGTTTTTTAAAAAAACAGAGCCACGGTAGGGGATGGTTAAGATTTATGGGTTAAATAATAAATAAATTGTTAGCTACAGGAGTATTTGTGTGTGTAATTCAACTTTTCACAGTTTGCGAACAACCATTAAAAAAAAAAAAAAAAAAAAAAACTAAACTAGAAGAACCAATGTTGCTAACTACCTTGTGTTGAATTGGTAAAATGTTTATGGCACAGTGAGATTAGATGCTGCTGTACAACTGCAGCTTTCATTTTGGCTGCATTCCCCCTAATAAATGGACAATAATTAAACTTAAGGGCAAAGTGTATACCAGCTTAACCGATGTATGTGCAGAGTGGGTTGAGAGCGGGTAGGGTGTGTATTGCTTCTGCTAGAAACGGCGCTCATTACACACTAGAGTTTTGTGCGAGCTAATCTGGCTGAATCTTAGTTTTTTAGCATGAGCTGATGGCGCATATGAACCCTAAGACTTGTCAATGCATTTAATTCAGTGCGTGATGTGCATGGCTGCCACATTGCATAGATCTCTCATGCACATAACTCCTCATGTAATTGCTTTCATGGGATGATAGGGGATAATAACATGCATTCAGTGCATTTTTGCATTTAAAAGGCACTAATGCAAAAACAAATCCTCCCACCGTGAAAAAATAAGAAAATGGGACCTGTGTGTTTAGTGCAGTAGCTTTATGTCGTAACATTAATTCCTGTGGAGGCAGTACTGGCCTCCCAAAAACTCTTCTCTAGTGGTTATCTCAATTTGTTTGGCATATTGAAGAGGATAAACCTGTCCATACCTAAGCTAAAAGAGGCATGAGAAGAGATGATGCTGCGCAAGGAATGTAAATCTCTTTTAGCTTAAAATTTTATTGTTATGGCCCAACAGTAAACGGATAACGTGGTATTGGTGTTTCCTTGGTTTACGCATGCTCTGATGGGCTCTATCCTTGCGATGACTGGTGAATGGTCTGCTATTTAGTGTACTGTGACAGCAGCATCCCCGCATTTAGTGGCTGCATTTATGGGTTTCTGAAATTGTCACTCAGACATGATGTGTATTGAGTGTCTCTGTTGACAGGTGCTATATTTCCTTTCAAAGATGTAACCAAACACAACACCATAAACTGGGCTTGTTTGGATCCTATTGTCATGGATTGTCACGGTCAAACCACAATACAATAATAAAAAAAATCAATGAAAAAGTTGAGCGGAGGGTGGCGTTACACCCACTTGACAGATTAAGGGCAGGTTTACAATTCTCACATGGCAGGAATCCTCTTCCCTTCCCACTTCTCTGGGATTATCCTCTTCTTCTTTAACTCTGTATGTCTTCTACTGTATTTGGGAAGGCATTTGTGTAGTTTAAGCACTGTAGGCTGTTATGTTGCTGAGTAGGATAGTAAGAGTTCCCACTGAAGTGGTGACTTATGGCCTTATTGGTTTAGGTTTACTCAGAGGTCTCACACTCTGCTAACCATATGATCAACCCTCACCGTGTCTGTGAGAAACGCTGTCAGTCGAGCCTTCTACGAAGAAACAGCTTCTCAATTGCCGCTGAATAATTGGTGACCTTTTTCTCTACTGAGGTTCACAGCAGCACACTGTGGAGACCAATCTGTGTGTGTCTGTCAGATTAACACAGTTGTGTATGTGCCTTTGTGCTGAAGCGAGAGGATGCCATAAAGACGGCCGTTGAGGGTTTTGGTCTAGAAGCTGGGAGTGTTGTCTGTTGGAATTTGCTTTCCTTTTCCTCATGGGAGCGTCTTCCACTTCCCACCCGAGGCGATCTGTCTTCCTGTCATCTTATTGATCCCCTCCAATCCTCATTAATATGGGGAAAAGGCCACCGAGCCTGAGATGTGGGGCTAGTAGCTTCTGTTTGACATTGAGAAGGTGCACGAGTGAAATGGAAGAAATGATTCATCTAGCAAAGAATTATATTCTTTGAGCCAGACTACCTTCCATCTCTCCTCTTGCAAAAATGTCTGCCTCCCAGGGAAGGCTTTTACAAAAAGCCCTGCACTTAGGCACGGTGTAAATAAAACTGCAATATCATGTCAGCACAGCCAGCCACGCAGGTGTGCTGGAGATTTTTGACCTTGTGAGCATGGATGACAAAACCCTTTTGAAGCAAAGGGTTCGCAGAAACAAGGGATTTTAATCTTTTAGCATCAGGTGGCCTTGCTGAGCTCAAGTCTGCTCAGAATCACTCCGGTGAATGTCAGCTCTGTATCTAGCTGCATACACTCTCCCTCTGTAATTTGTTTAGAAAACGGGGATCGGGAAGCAGTTTCAGGTGCATTTTGATTTGTTGAGCTGGCTGAAAATTGAACATATTTCAAATCCACTCAAGATGCTGCATGTGGTTTTTCTTTTCTTTTTTTCTCCCCCGTCCGTCGTTTTATTTTAATTTGCACTTCATTTACATTCATATTGAATTTGTTGTGTGCCATATGCTCCCTGACGTTGTCATGGGATACAAGCCAGACTGATCATTTCCTTTTCGGAGGCAGCTGAGCACATTCATTTGTATTTGTTTAAAGTGATGAGATAAGGAGAGGAAAAGTCTCCCCTCAAGCAATGGGTAAATGTTGGCTAGAATTAAAATGTTAACATTGTGCACTATTACATTTCTGCTTGACACATGCGGGCTGCCAACAGGTATCCTTCAATATAATATCATGCCAACATGCAAAAGATTGTAGTCTGTGGAGAAGGAATGGACAGTTTGCTTGGATCCCATGTCAAACGAGCAGCTGGAGCTTTTGCAGTGTTCCTCTGGCTCGATCCAGGCTTGTTTGAAAATCTCTGCATGTGTTCACTGTAAACCAGAAGTGAAAATGACTGTTTTTGATACACAATAAAATGCCCTTGGAGGCCATGTCCAACACACTTGCCAGGCAGCGCTGGCACAATCAAGAGACTTCTGCTCAGTAATTTACAGCAAAGCTTTTTTCCTTCAACCTGGGACGGCCTGGCAACATTTCTTTATTCATCCCCCTCCTGAACTTGTTAGTAAATCACGGCCATTGTGAGGTGCCAGAGAAATTGTCCATTAATAAGCACTATGCCTAGTCAAGTGGCACAAGAAGCGCAAGGGTCAGGCCCGCCTTCCAATCATTATACCTCATCCACTTCCTAGTAAAAGGCCCCTAGCTGCTCAGCTACAGGTCGCCATGGAGACCCAGGACGGGGAGTGGAGTGTGGGGTGGGGGTTGCTGGGTTGGAGAGCACCGCAGACGACCATTAGCAGCCCATTCTATGGTAATTAATGATCATCCCACTGGCTCCAAATCAGGGCCTGCAGAAAAACAGACAAGTCTGCTCTCTGAGAGCAAATGTCACAGTGGAAAGAACTGTGTCAGTGGACTGGAGAGGGCAGCCGAGGGTTTTTTTTCTCTCTTTTTAAAATAAATTGATGGAAAATGGTGACATGATGATGACTGCACAAGTGGAATGGAAAAGTAATGGATGTGTAAGTGACTTATATGTTAGATGGTTGGGTGGGTCGTGGGGGGGGCGTGGCTGTGGAAAGATATAATCATTCGGTTTTACATAAGCATCCTTCAAAACATCCCATTTCACAAGAACAGAAGAATTAACAAGAAGATTGCCGTTTCCACTCTTTCACTTACTTGACACATTTGACTGGTGTCTATCCCCTTCTGCTAAAATAATCACTTGTCTAATCGAATTATGAGCACTGTTAACATTGCAAATATGAAGCCCACGTTATTGGTTTTCTAATCAAATCTGAGGTCTGCTTGCCCTTAGGGGATTCTCAGTCAGCAGACAAGCAAGGCAGCCAATCAACCAGGCGCAGCGGCTTTGAAGTGCCGGCAGACCAAAACTACCCATCTCCCCCTCGTCCTTTCCTCGAGTAAATAGCCCCTCTCCACAACTGAATTCGCATATACCCAGACACAAAAGCAATTCTGTGGGCGACTGGAAATGCAAAACAAATGCCACACAGATGCCCATGTTTGACGATGCTGATGGAAGTGGACAAGAACATGGGGGAGCACGCTTAACACACAGCGCACACAACAGAACAATTGGTGGCACGCAAGCAAACACCGGCGCCACATTCACGGGCCAATGCTGCTCTCCCTGACAAGCGTGATGTGTGTGTGCTCAGAAAGTCTGGGCACATAACCCACGCTGACACTACACCTTTATCACACAGACACACTGGGCGGATTAAAAGACGTTGTGCCAGATTCATATGCAGGTCGAAGGCAGGAGTGTGATTGCATCAGTGCATAATTTCCTGGTGTTTCTGAAGTACACTGATTCTTACAAGACAAGCATTCAGCAACTTAAGGTGACAGGTTTATCCTTCTCTCACAAGTTTTAAGGACGGGAAGGGAAAAAAAAAGTTCTGACAGCTTTGTGGTGCATTTAGTGTGGGGCTTGTGAGCTGGCCTGCTCACATGCCAACTGTGTTCTCACACATGCTTGATGTTTGCAGACATGTCCGTGTGTTCCATGCAAATGATGGGTGACCAAAGTAGACACACGGAGGTTTTTTGGGGCAGCTGCCATGTATGTTTTTGCGACCAACATAGCAACGATCAGCAGCCTGTAGCAACCAATTGCCATCTGTTGGGAGCTGGCGGTTGCCATGGGGTTGCCGACTTGTCTTTGGGC